GTGACACAAAGCTCCAGCTCCACATCTGATGAGGAAAAATGTGTTTGCAAACAAAACATGGATTGTGGTTTCTCTACCTACCACTGAAATAATGATAAATTATCAGACAATTTGTGAAGGGCAACCCATAAGGCACAATTCCTACCCCATTATGATCTAAGCAAGGAGCTCTGAATATTAGATGTGGTATTGTGTACAGATATCAAATTCTCCAGTACAACAGGAAAGGGTGGTAAACTCATCCCTTACCCTCACACACAAATATTCAAAAATTAGAAAATGACTAAGGATGCTTTATATTGGCCCAAGTGAGCAGTGACACGGGAAAACCATGATGTTGCAGATGTCAAAAATATAGCCAAGTCAAAGAAAACAAATAAGCTTAGTGGTTGGTTGAGTACCCTCAAAGCAAATTCAAATGTTAATAGTATGATTAGCTACAATAGCTTGTCTTGAATCTAAGAAATTCAGGTAAATAATTAGTTAAAATTATTTCTCAACACCAGCAAAGAATCCAGATGAATCCACATGTATATGTGGTTTTTTCTGTGACTTTCTTTTTGCATACAAAAATAGGCAGTGTATTATTCCAGATTATGAAAGTCTGCAACTCAATCAAATGAATAATTCTTCTCCCAGATAGATGAAATAAAAATGTTACTTGTCCTCATTCTTTTATTTCCCAGGATGGCTATCATAATGCACTCATATTGCATACCCTATTGTATTCTTTATATTCTGCAACTCTCCTGCTACCTGGAATCCACTACAGAATACTGAGGACTGCACAGAATTGAATGTGAGAGATGCTTTTTGCCATCTTTCTTGGCAGGAAGACAAAGTTCAAACATGTAGCTACACTAAGAATAGATAAATTCATACCTCAGGTCAATCCAGCCTATTGCTCAGCTCCAGGAATGGATGTAAAGGGAAGAGTATGAAAACATGAAGGCATAGACTTGAGAACAGCACTTGGGATTTCCTTGGCTGGGAATGTATCAATGCCTTTAACATCTCTTGGTAGAGCTTTTACTCCAATGCATGTGCTCAGTTGTGTTTGAACCCATGTCAACCTTTAACAGCCATGGTATTTTTCATCACAGCATTCCACAGCTTAACTCTCTTTCTCAATGAAACTTTGTCCTTCTGTTTGCTTTGAAACTGCCCCTACTAACTTTCATTTAATGATTCCTTGTCCTTATATTGTAAAAGAAAGCAAACACTTGCTACTTGCCTGCAGAATCTGCTTGGGTCTATCTGCTGATACTTTCAACACTGTAATATCCTCATTACTAAAAGATCCATAAGCGATTGAAGAAAAGATATAACTCCAATTAATGCAGAAAAGCTCAACAAGAAAACATTTAGTATCAGGTCAGGACTAAAAGTAAATTTGTTTCTACCCAAATTCCCCATAACTGAGGGAGAAGCAGTAACTCTTACCATGTCCTTAGAGGGCTCAGTTGCTGTTGCACTCAGTATCTCCCAAGACTAAGATCTGAGGTGAAAAGTGTCTTCCACATCGGGTTCCACCAGGCTCAACACCTACTAGGTACAATTCTGTCTGACCATGGGTACTCTCCTGAGCCATCAGCCAGTAACAGTGAGGGCTTCTGGTCTGCAGGAAAAAATGTTTTCCAGTATTTTTTGCTGTATTGGTAGTCAGGGACCACAATAAAGGAATATCTACGAGTGCTATAGTAGATAGCTCTGTGTGTCATCTGATTTTCAGTGAAAATAAGCAAATGAAAAGGAAAAATCTTAAAAGAAAAATACTTCTTTTATCTGAAAATAGTATTACACAAGTCTCTCTTTTTGGAAATTATCCATTCATTTTCTTCATAAACATTTACTAAGGAGAAAAGTATTTTATGAACATATGGCACTTGTCTCTGTTTTGGATGTAAAAACGTCTGGTATTTTGCTGACTTCATTTCATTGTGAGTCACTGTGTAGGTTTGTATAAACACCAGGGTATTTTCATCAATTAGAAATAACTGAGATTTTCAACATAACATTCCCATATTTACTTGCACTTGAATAGTTCTGCTAATACCCTAGACAATACACATATAGATATATTTACTGCACCCACAGGATCCCTACTCCTAAAAAATTCCAGACAAAGCCTGAGGACCTATGACTCTACCCTAGAATCCCGCTGTATCCATTAACAAAAATCCTTCAAATTTTCCCTGTAAGTGGGTGTTCTTCATCAGTTAGGATACTGTGGCCAGGAAAAATAAAGTATTTGAAAACCACGTTCTAATGGGAAAAAAGTACTATCAAATGAGCAGACTGTTTCTTAAGATAATTACAGCACATACAGAATCTCATCTGGTTGTTTCAGATAACCTTCCATTATAATATGTTCCTGCATGTTGTTGGTAATTACATACCCACACTGTGCAAATCAATTGCCCTATCAATACTACAAGAAGTAGATTGATCCTGTCCCAATTTTGGAGTACTGCAGGAGAGAGAGGACACCAGAAATCCTGCCTGCCTCAGGAAACTTGTAAAAAGATTCACTTTAGTCATGATCCAAATTACTGGCACAACAAAGAAGCAAGATAGCAAATCCAAGCCACTGCGGTGGCATTCCCTAGAAGTGGCAAGGGGATGATCACAAATGGCAGGATAACAAATAGGTTAGAAGCAGAAAGTGCTTATGCTACTATTGAGGGCACTTTCATGGGAAATAGATTACGTGGGTCCAAATCCCTTTAGCAGAAAAGAATGTCTATAGCTCAAGGCTGGATAACTGCTCTAGCCTCGAGATAGCAGGTAAAATAGAAATAAAAGCTGCGTGGAGCTAGCCTGTCCCATGTCTGAAATCACACTTGCTAGTCAACTTGATTTTGAAGGCAAAAGGAGAACGTCTTCCCTGATCTCGTCACAATGGGAACAGGCACAACCTTGCTGTTTGTCCTCCCACGAGGTGACACTAGATGGCAGCAATTGAAGTGGCAGCAGAAGCTGCAGACCTTGCTGGCCCAGAAGGCGCTCCAGCAACCAGATGGTCAAAAACACAGGGAACACCTGAGAGGCACCTACCTATCTACAGCACTTAGGCAAGTCATGAGATACAGACATGAAAATGAAGTCTGTGCCTTGACTGTCCTGCTTATCAAACCTGATCCAGATGAAGGTGTCCCTGCTCAATGCTGGGGAGTTGGACTAGTTGTGTTTCAAAGGTTCCTTTCAAACCAAATTATACTGAGATTCCATGATTCTATGATTCTGTTTCTTTTCTCTGCACTGACTTGCCCATATCTGGTTGGCCCATTTTGTGTTTGAGACCTCTTAGCCTGCATTTAAACGGCGATTTTTCACAGAGTAATATGATAGAAGATATTAACCAGACTATTGTCATGTTTGCTTCTTTGGAGTCAAATGGGTTAGGTGTTGCATGGCATTATGGAAATACTCGCAAAAATGGCCTTGTTAGTAAGGAAAACAGAGTCAAGAAGCACGGTAATAGATAGATAATGTCCTAACTGCTGTTCTGACAATTAACTCTGAAAGAAACCAACGGAGGGAAAAGCTGAGACTCCCCAACACATGAACAGTGCCAATATAGCATATGTTCCTCCTGCTTTATTAAGACAAGATTTCACTGCCAGCAAAATCACAGGCTATTCAAATTTTAACAAAGATGTATCAAAAGACAGTGACCAGCAACAGCATTAGTATTGCCTTTGAAATATTAATGTGCTTCCTATCCTCCACATGCCAGTTTTGTTCGATATCTTTGCCACAGTTAAAGCTGTCTCCACTGCTTCATTACACCTGCCAAGTTCTGAAAATGTGTTTGGGGCTTAAATCTGGATATCAAGCCATCAGCATGGCAAAAGAGAGCAGCACTTAACACAGTAATTGAGATTCTGACTTTGAGCTACTGAAAACAAAATCCAGTGCTTAGTCACTGATGGGAACTGCAGGCATTTTAGTCAAGACCTTGAAACTCAATTGCTGGCTGCAACTTCTGCTGCTGCAGTGTGGGGTAGTCACCTAAAGATAAGTGCCTTATACGACAGCCAAACCATTTACATCTTTGAGCAGTTCTGGCAGTAGCCTAGCTGTCTGCCTGCCAAGCAGCAGGGAAGGAGAAGGGAGGGGTGGAGACATGAATTGTCACTGTGCATAAGCATACATGAGATGGAAGCAGTGGCAGGTGACTCAAGATTACGGAGACACTGTCTGCATGTGCAGGAACAGGTTTTGGGAGCCAAAGAAAATGAGAAGTTGAACTTTAAGAGAGACATAAACGGTGACTAAAAGGGCTTCTAGAGGTGTATGAGCAGCTAAAGGAAAACTAGGAAAAATGTGGTCCTGCTGCTGAAGGGGGAAGGAGACCTGGAGGCAAAGGACCTCGAAGTTCTCAATGACTTCTCCACACTGATCTTTACCAATTAGAACGGCCTTCAGCAATTCCAGGCCATGAGACCAGAAGGACAATCTAGAGCAAGGCAGATTTATCCACAGTAGAGAAGGATCAGATTAGGAATCATAAACATATAACATCAGACTTGATTGGACAAACACACAAGTGCAAAGACACCTGGCCAATGTCACTAGAAGGTCAATCCCAATTGTTTTGGAAAGGTCATGACAAATAGCAAAAGATTATGTCATTCCTATCTTCAAAAAGGGCAAGGACATCTGTGATACCATAGTCCAGCCAGCCTCACCTCAGTCCCTGGAAAAGTGAGGGATCAAATCCTTCTAGAAGCCATCTACAAACATGAAGGACAAAATCGTGATTAGAAGCAGTCAGCATGGATTTACAAAAGGGAAAACATGCCTGACCAGCCTGAAAGGCTTGTATGATGAAATGACTGGCTTGGTGGATCAGGGGAAAGCAATGAAGGTTTTTAATCTTGATTTTACCAACTGTTTCAACACTGTCTCACATAACATCCTCATTGACAAAATGAAATACTGGCTGGATGAGTGGATAGCAAGATGGGTGGACTGCCATGCTCAAATATTTGTTATTGGTGGCATGAAGTTCAGGTGGAGGCTGGTCACTAATGGAACACCTCAAGGGCTGGTACTGAGGCCCATAGGGTTTGGTGTCTTCGTTTATGACCTGGATCACAGGACACAATGCACATTCTGTAAGTTTTCAGACAATACTAAATTGAGAGGAGTAGCTGATGCACCAGATGAGCATGACATGCTGCCATTTAGAGGGATCTTGCAGGGTGGAGAAATGCACCAACAGGAGTATCATGAAGTTCAACAAAGAGAAATCCCGAGTCCTGGCCCTAATGCAAGTGGGGTCTGACCATCTGGAAAGCAGCTTTGTAGAAATAGATCTGGGCACCCTGGTGGCACGGAGTTGAACATGAGCCAGCAATGTGTCCTTGAAGCCAGCAGCATCTTGCTTTGCATTAGGAAAATGTTGTCAGCAGTCTGAGGGAGGTCACCCTTTCCTTTCTCTCAGCATGGGTGAGACTCAGCAGGAATGCTGGATCCAAGCCTGGGCTCCCAGCACAAAAGAGTCTCTTAGATACTGGAGTGACTCCAGGGAAGGACCACAGAGATGATTAGGGCACAGGAGCATCTGTCATACAAGGAGAGGATGGTAGAGCTGGGACTGTTTAGGAAAGAAAAAGCTTGGTGGAGTTTATCAGCGGGAGGGGAGGTGAAGAAGATGGAGCTGGGCTCTTCTCAGCAATATCCAGTGTCCAGAGTTGTTTCCCAGAAATGCTGTAGAGAATCCATCCTTGGAAATATTCAAAACCCAAATGGACACAGTCCTGTGACCCTGTTCTGAGCAGAGGAGTCAGACTAGGTGACTCCAGAGATCCCACCCAACATCAACCATTCTGTGAATGTGTGAATCTGTGATTCTGTGTCAAACAACTTTGTCTTCAGATGTTGCTCATTGTCTTCTGCACTGCAGAGTCCACCCAAACCCTGCAAGACAAGCACTGACAGGCTAAAGATATTGCTGCAATGGTGCAAACAGTAATCACACAAGGGGATTGTCTTCCCCCTATTGTGAATGTCTGATTTGTTCATGTTGTGATCATTGCACCAAATAGAGAAGGCCCAACAAGCCTGTGCATCAGTTTTCAAACAGGAGCAAGAAATAAGAAATCATCTTCATAGTTCAGGGACAAAGCATCTCTTTGGCAACTCCCTGGGGAGATGATTTTGGCTCACTCTGTCATTTCCTCAGCAGTACAAGGCACTGTAGGATGAAGAAAATTACAGGAAAAGATTAGCAGGCACCTTCTGTCCTCCTGTCTTAGGACATCTCGTGTTCTGTTGGAGCCCTACATACATGACTTTTTAAAGGAATATTTGTGGTTCTCAGAAAACAATTACTCAAAATTTGCTAAAAATAACAGAAAATTGAGATTAGTCTGAATTTGGAGCTCTCTGCTAGTAAAATATGTTTCAGTGTGAATAAACATTTGCTAAACTGACAGAACCTATGGGCAAAACTAATTATCACCTGCACTGTGGTATTAGTGACAGAGAGCATCTTGGTGACAGCACTGCTACTTGAGGCTGACAGGGCCCAGTTGTGCCAACTGACATACTTCCATCAGAAACTGCTGCTGCTCCTAAAATACTAGGAATGCTGTGAATGCATGAAAACCTCACTGAAAGTATCCAAACCTTGCAACTACTGGGAGAAACTTAAATTTTTTCTGAAAGTTCAACAGTATAAGTGGCAAAAGTAGTCCATGTTATTGATGATTTCAGATAGCCTAATTCACATCATTTGAACATGAGACCAGCAGTGTTCCTTACAGTTACTCCTCTCAGGCATAGAAGATAAATCATCCATCTTTGCCATTGTAGGGCTCAATCATCTGAGCAAGGCCTCTGTCTTCTTTTTTTTTTTTTGAAACTCAGACAAAAGGGCTGTTCTTTACCAGCAGAGAGGTGGAATTTTATACATGAAACAAGGAGGCCAAAGTATTGAGAAACGTCTTCTTACCATAGCTCAAAGTAATTTTTTCTTTCAATCAGTGTCTGTTGTCACACACCGTCTCTATTTATAAAGTTATTATCATTTTTGCTAACAAATACCCTGTAAGATTTAGTAGCAATGTCAGTGGCTTCATTTGTTACAACTACAAAGATTTTCAGCTTTTTGTAAACTCTTAACTCATGATACCTTGTTCAACTTCTTAAGCTTTTAATAAATATCAGGCTGTGCTAAAAATACTGTTCATCAGATGACATTTTAAAAAATGTTTTGGATAGAGCTCTCAAATCCTATTGAAATGTTTTGAGAATATTTCTGACTGCCGATGCACTATGAACAGCAGGAGACCCTGCTGACCCCACCAGAGATTAATGGGTTGGAATTTGTGTCTTTCTGAGGAATGGAAGACGTCAACGCTAAAAGTTCCCTTACCCCACAGATAGCTGGTCCCAGTCCTGTTGTTTTTTCCAGTCTTCAGAAAAATCCTTGGCAAGAACTATCATTTTTCCAGTCATCAAATTTCCAAGAATCTTCTCTTCACATCTCTCTCGTTTTCTTTGATGGACTCTCTCACTGTAGTAAATGCAGACCTCTTGCAGGAATGTGGGCCAGACGTGTGTGTAAGCCAAATGGCTTATGCCTGGAACAGCAGCAAATGAACAATGAAATCCAGCAATGAGATGGAATTTAAAAGGATACTTTTTTTTAATATAGAAATGTTTCTCACTTCTTAATTGATTTGCTTCAACTATGCAATTAGTTTTGGCCCATTGGATCTGATTGTGACACCATGCCCAGTGCCACCTTCTACACATTTGAAATTGAATTGTCAAAACTGACAGCACTGCAGAAAATTTTTCATAATTTAACCTAAGACAGAAGAGGCAGGTGAACTTTTTTTTTTTTTTTTTTTATTTTTTTTTTCTCAATCCAGACATATCAAAAAGCTAGTTTCCTCAAACAGATCACCTGACTTCTGGTGAATGAGTGAGTATGATTTTGCTCTTTGCTGCTTGGCTTATACACAATAGTGTTGACCTAGTTCTTTCAATAGTATTGTTCCTGTTCAAATGGTAGAGTTTGGGGTGTTTGGCTGTCTCACAGGTGAGAGACTGATTTATAAAATTAGACACACATTTTTGGTTTAAAATCCATCAAAATGCCATCAAAATCTTTAATTTTAAACAAGCTGCACTGTAAAAACTCTTGCACTTGAAAAACATTTAAGTGCTTTAATAGTTAAGATACCTCATTTGGGATGTACTGAATTACAACTGTATTCTGATTTTCAGATATACTTATTAATTTTGACCTGTATTATTATTTTCAATTTTATCCATTTCTATGATGCTATCCTGTCTCTGGTAAACAAAGAAATGGAAAGCTATCTGTCTTCTATGTATAGTTGTATCTTGCCAAACACCCAAAAATTAGAAACACTAGCTTTTAGGGAATGTGAATAACTCAGGAATAGTTCATGGATTCCTTAAGTTCTAGGCCTCGTATTTACAGTTTAGTCCAGACTACTAGAATTCAAGAATTTCCATATATGAAGAATATTATAGGCAGTCAAAATAGCTTCAAAGAATCAGTGAAATGGAGTAATACAGAATAGTCAGAATTACCTTGGTTCCGATAAAGATTATGGAGAAATCCTCACAGGAATCATTTTTAGGAAGGAGGGGAAGGTAGCTGGGAGAAACCAACATAAATTTACCAGTGACAAACTGCCTGGTTGACCCAGCTGCCCTCTACAATAGGAGGACTGGTTTTGTGGAGAAACAAAGCAGTACATGTCATTTGCCTCAACATCAGCAGGGCTGTTGACAGAGTGCCTTGGTTTTAAGACAGGTGTCTGCCAAGGAAGGCAGGAGCCTCCCTTGAAATGGAAAATGTAAGCTCCCTCCCTTCAAATTATTATAATTTTGAAATTAAGGGGCTCTCAGGCAAAGATACTGGAATAGGAATAACAGTTCTTTACTAGGAAAATTTAAATAAAATGCAATAGTACAAAAAAAAACAGTGACAGAGTCAGAATACAAGCTGATAACCCATCAGTCAGGGTGGTGGTAGCAGTCCCATTAAATGGTGGCTGCAGTCCTCTTGGATGACATATGTGACTCTGTTGAAGCAATGATTCTGTAGAAGGATGAAGTTTTCCTTTGAAGGTCCAGTGGTGGTGTAGATGGGCCAAGTCTTCCTCTGGGAATCCAGTGGAAAAAAGGCAGCTCTGGGGTTCCAAATCTCAGATTTTATCTAGGTAGGAAATGCTTGGCTCCTCCTCCTAGGTGGAGCATCTCCCAATGGGACGATGTAATTTTATCAGTCATGCAGTGGGACTCAATGGGCCATTAACAGAAGGCACTTTCCCAGACAAAGGACGGGTCCTGGAAGAGATAAAGAAAATTTCTCCACCTGGTTTTAACATCTGACCCATTAACAGAGGATATCCCCCCCCCAAGTTATAAGGGATGGGTCATGGAAGAGATAAGGAGCAGTGCTCCACCTGGTTTCAACACATGGTGTAGAATACATACTGCTGGTTTACATCTTGCATTGCCACCTGAGGCACACAGTCCCTCATGGCACCACCCCTGGAGACAAACTGGGCAGACATGGACCCTGGGCAGATTCCAGGATGGGTAACAGCCTTGCTAGGCTGGCAGACCTAGAGAGCTACAGTCAACACTTTGAAGGGATGACATTGAAGAGCAAAGTTCCTCAGAGATATGTGCTAGAGTTAACACTGACCTGATGCAGGAGAACAGCCTGAAAACAGCAGCTCTGAAAGGAAATGCTGGGCCGGTCTTGGACAACAAGTTAAGTAGGAACCATCAGTGCATCTTTCAAAAACTGACCATTCATTGGCTGCATTTGCAAGGTGGTAGCAAGAAGACTAAAAGAAGAGGTTGCCCATCCTATTTGGCACTTTAGTGTCTCTGTCTAGAGTACTGAGCCCATTTAACGGAGTAATTTAACTGAGCCCATTTATGAGAGAGATTTTGTCCAGCTAGAAATGTCTCCAGCAGAGGTGTGGGGACTGGAGCAGATGATATTTGATAAGGTGAGTCTTTCAACCAGGAGAAGACTAAGGAGGGGTCTAATTGCTGTCTTGAACTACATGGTGGGAGGTTGTAGAGAAGACTCAGTGTTCTTAGAGGAACACGGGAAGGGCCAAGAAGCAGCAATAAAAGGCTGCAACAAGGGAAAATCTGACCAGGTCTGGTGAGGGCAGTGCAAAACTGGGAAAGGGGTTCAGAGATGCTACTGGCATCCCCATCCTTTGAGGTATTTAAAATACATCTGGACTGTAGCAATCAGACCTAGATGTAAGTTAGATTCGTTGAATCATAGAGTACCTCAAGTGGGAAGGGACCCATAAGGATTATCCAGTCCAATTCCCTCTTCCTCTCAGAACTACCTAAAAGTAAACCATCTGATTAAGAGCACTGTCCAGACACTTTTTGAACTCTAATAGTCTTGGTACTGTGACTGCTTCCCTAGGGAGCCTGTTCCAGTGTCTGACCACCCTCTGTGTGAAGAACCTCATCCGAATATTCAAACTGAACTTCCCTTGACACAGCTTCATTCCATTTCCTCATATCCTTGTTAGCCCCGACTTGAGCAGAAGTTTTGCCTGGATGACCTCCAAGGTCCCTTTCAACTGCAGTTATCCTGTGTCCATGTCTCTAAGAATAATTTAAGTCCTGTTTCTCACAGTGAACTAAGGAGCAACAGTTGTCACAGGCACTACCCCAAAGACTATTAAGACACAGGATCTAACATCTTGCTATCTATAGAAATGCTTCTCTAGTCATATTTGAAAATACATCTCCTTTACTGGTCTTGGAAAACACCCAAAATCCAGTTTTAACAGTGTAACTGGGAAGGACTGGAAGAAAAAATTCATCAGGGTAGAAGGAAGGAGGGAGCATGGGATGCCACAAAGCCACTAAAATGAACTTTTTCTCTTTCCTGGTCTCTCACAAAAGGGATTGTAAGTGTGGTGGAATGTGGTAAGCATGGGCTGCCCCTGGACCCAGGGTCTAGCACACCAACCAGGCCACAGGCAGCCCCCTCCTGCAAAGCCACCCTGTGTCACACCACCCACAGCCGCCAGCAGGCGATTTAGGTCAACCCAGCCCCTTTCCACCATCACTGTGCTTGCTCCCAACGCAATAAATAGAAAGGCTATTTTGTCAAGCCCAGCTGTTTTTATTCAAGAACTTCTCAGAGGAAGCCTGAGTGCGTAAACAGGAAAGCAGGGGCTGTTTTTACTTCACCCATCTATAGCCGGTACACGCGGGTTGACATCAGGCGAGGGCCAGCTGCACTGAATGCACCCAACAATTTGCTCCCTAGGCAGCAGCACCAGCACCAGCACCAGCACCAGCACCAGCACCAGCACCAGCACCAGGGCAGGCATGGCTGGAGGGAGGTGCAGACAAACACAACACCCCCATACCCCTGTGCCCACCCTGGATGCCCTCCAGGTCCCCATCCTCTCCGGTGGCAGCAGAAAGGCAAAGGGATCATCCTCGCTCCAGAAATTCACAAAAATAGAGATTTTTTGCCTCCAAGAGTGCCGGCCTCTTAGTGCAGCTTGCTGATCATGGGGGGCCTCACCACAGTCCCCCAGGACCCTCATGCTTGTGTGATGTGAAGTGCTGCAACCAGCAAGCACTGGGCACCTATTTTTAGCCCTTGTGGACTGGAATTGCAGGCTGCACTGCAGATCTCCTTGCAGAAACACTGGTGGGAAGGAAAACCAGCACCACACTGTAATTTTGTCTCTAGTGATGGGGTTTTCTTTCTAAATCCTGAGTATCAGTTTCATTCACTACTCCAGGCTACAAGAAATATGCTTCACCTACAGCTATAACGTCTTCTCTCCTGCCTATATGTCACCATATAATAAAACGTGCAGCAGTTTTATAGTCACTGTAGAGTTATTACAAGACATATGTGTACAGAGCACACTGGCTTATATGACCACCCAAGCGATTAATAAAACTGGTTGACTGCTAAAAGTGATCTTTAGTTAAAGGTTGAACAAAATTGGTCTGGAAACCTTGAGAATAATTTAGAGTGGTTGCTTAAATCACAGACACAAAGTCTGCAGGAGGTGGATCTTCATGTAGCTTTTATCATTAATGTTTTTTCCCTCCATGGTCTCAACACCTTTAAATAGAACAACCTACCAAATAATATTTATGTTAATTTGTTTATTTGCTGCCATAGAAAAAAAACAACAGCAACAACAGTGCTAAGGGAACAAGTGTGAATAGTAGTGAAGAAGTGCCTTGGTTATGAGTAATTTCTGTCTCTATTTTAAACATACTGAGCAAATTCTGCTCAGTTACACCAGTCTAAATTGAAGAAAATTGAATTCCGTGAGAATTGGTGACAAAATTTAGCCCACAAGTTGAAATTGGCACTTCATAAAAGAACAAAATTCAGTTAATAATTTTATAAATTACTCTCAGCATATTCTACACATTACTTAAAAAATTTTCCTTGCATATAACTTAGTTATATGCATAAAATGAACATAAATTAATTTCCTCATGTATTCGGCTACTTGTTAATAAATTGAAAGCCACAACAGTAATGATCTTAATTTATATCAGAGAGTAAAAATGACCATTAGATCTGCAACAGAAAAGATACAGATACTTGCAGACACAGTAAGTCTGCTCTGCCAGGTCAGTACCACCTTGTTTGGTTTTTATTGTACAAATCAGGTTGTAGAGTCGAGTACAGCGAGAGCTCTCAGAAAAACAGATTTACTCCATGGTTTCTAGAATCCTCAGTTCACTATAAATAGAAACACACTAAGACTGTTTGGGAGACATTATTTGTTCTGCATATATCCTATCATTAAGGGGGCTTACTCATTTTCAACCCTGTCTTTAATCTGGAAAAGATAAAAAAATAAGTAAACAGTAAATTTAGGCTAGAAACTTCTCTGCTGTTGACCAGCTGAGTCCATGTCATACTGCCTCCCAGTTAATGCCCAGCTGCCTTTTTTAAACTCTCCTTTCTGCTTCAATCCCATAGAGTCCATCTGCCAGGCAGAAGTCGTATACAATGCCCAGAGAGTCACTAGATAGACTTTAGCATTTACTAACTTTAGTTAAATTCACCAGGGACCACTATAAAGACTTGCACAGAACTAACATAAGTCTTAGGTATTTGATCCAGGGTTTAATATTACAGTTTCCAGCAAACACAAAGGTTTGGGGGGTTACTGTTCTAGTAAAAAGGCAACATTTTCTAACAATGTAAATTGAATAACTGATAATAGACATCGACTATTTCAGATGAGTTTGAATTTGCTGAATTTATGTCATAGAAATATGCAGCCTCAGACAACCTTCTTAGGTCTTCAAGTGGTGTAAATCAAACATAAACTACACAAATTCAATGGAGTTACCTGGATTCAAATGAGATTAGAACCTGACTCTGCATCTCTTGCAAGCAGTGCCCAGTGTTCTTCAACATCCCACCAGTATGTAAAGGAGATGGCTCTGGCCATTTGTTCTGACAACCAGAGAGTCTCTGATGCCTTTCAGGGAAACTGCTACCACATGGTTGTCTCAAGTCATGATAGAGTGATTTAGCATATTTTCACTTTAACCATGTGCAGGTGTCAAAGTGCAGGTAAAGAAAGTGAACAAGTCCACGCCTGCTATCAAGTCCATCCTTTCTAGCCTCCCTCTGCATCAGCCATTCAGAAGTGCAGTTATGGAGCCTATTCTCATCCCAGCTCAGGGAAACATACTGCAGTGGCCAAATTCTTATTGTCCTTTCATTCAAAATAACATGATACAACAAGATTTCAAGACTGACTGCCTTTCTCTAACCATAACCTCCAAGAGCTTAATGCAAGGCATCCATGCCTTTTTGGTCTGGAAAGTATGAAAAGGAGGAAGAAAGTATCATTTTACTGTGAAAAGTGAATATTTCACTTTTAAAAGAAAAGTGGTGAGGCCAATCAATAGGTCTTACCTGGTGCACTTTTATGGAAGAAATGAAATGAAGAAATGAGTTTGTTTAGGAGAAGTTGGGAGGTTGAGCGGTGAAATCACAGACTAAGAAAAAGGACTCCGGGACAGAGCCTCTTGTTCCTTCAGCCTGTAAATTTTAAGATTTCATAAAACTGTGTCCCTCCAGCAAAACCAGTTCATACCTAGGTGAATAAGAACACAGCAGCACATGACAGGAGACAGAGTCAGCTCCTGCTATTCATGCAGGCTGAAATTTGCGGCAGTTTAGTTGTCAGTTCATGCATTAGGGAACGAGAGTCATATGGATTTTCTGGGTCTGGGAATAAGAGAGTCACTAGTGTGAAAACAAAGGAAGACATGGTAAAAAGCTAGAAGCTACTCAGAGAGTCCTGAGGTACCTGTTTTCAGAAAACAATCAATTCTGGGATGCAAGGAAAGAATTAAAAAGCTCCCTAGAGCTTCATTGCAGTGTTCAGTACTGTTCCTCATGTTACCCAGTACAAATAAAATGTGAACTCAATAGGCCTATGAGAGGCATATTCAAATTCCCTTTTCCCTTTCCTTTTAGCTTTCTCTTTCATGTCTTTTTTCTTTGATTTCTGAATGAAATTTCTGCCTTGCCTTTGTGGTCAACCATGCCAGCCATCGAATGATCTCTTGAGAAAGACTCTTTTCAAGAGTTAGTAATCATGTGCAAAGAATTTTGGTCATAAATACTTCAAGGATATTGTCAAGAATAAAATCCAACAAAAATAGGCAAGTTAAAAAAAAAAGAAGTAGGAGTAGTCCTACAGAGCCAGCTGCACTTCCTCCTGTCACACAGTCCTTCATGTATTCTTCAGCACAGAACAATTCAGAAGATCCCAGTAATTTCTTCTGTGGGGGTAAGCTGCTGTTCATCCTCAAGCAATACAAGTCTTTCTATATTAATGGACATGATAAAAGTGACATTTTAAAGACACATATAATTCATCTTTCATTAAGTATTTTCAAATAGCAAAGGGATTTAAGAGACAATCTCTAGCTAGCAAACACCCCTGACTTAAGCTTACACTTGCAGTTTCTGAAATTAATATATGCTTTCTCTATCTGTGATCTCCATCTTACTGTAAAGGAGACCACAACTTTGAAGATCACAGCAGCAGTGTGCCCATATGAATGATAACAAAATCAAATGCTTAGCTCACCTTTGCTAGTAGCCTGGTGTCCTGTGCCTCACCCATCAGTATGAATTCTGACAGCATCCTTAAACCATCCCTTCCTCTCAATCATATAGATTGTGGGATTCATTTTCATGGATAGCATCCTACAGCCACTTCAGTAGCAGGTGTGGCCCTGCCTGGGGAAAACACATTATGGTCAGGCACAAGCAAGTGCTTTGTGGGAACTCAGTCAGCCTCGTCAAGTCCAGTGCAGTAACTGCCTGAGGCCAAAAACACAGAGATGTTACATCTTCTTTAACACTTGCTACTGATGGAAGGCAATTTTTAGCAGCAGAGGTTCCTAAAGAAATAGAAGACAGTCTCTAAGACCCTCTAAGAAAGTATTCAGGGTTCTTTTCTACAGCGCAGATGTCCTTTTCTAAACATTCATTTCTAAAATCTGTTAGATTTCTGCTTTGTATCAGTTTACAGAGACTCCCAAAGTATCCTTAAGCAATTCTGGAGTGGAGAATTTATACGAAGTTTTCTCTACAGCTGTGGTTCTCCCTGCCACTAACAGATGAAGCAAAGAGATTTTTCCCTCCGTTCTTTCGTGGCGCACAAAGTTCTGGCTAAAATGTGTGCCTAAATAAAGCAGCTCTGTACCCTTGTTTTTCTCTCTTGTCTATTGTTTTGATGGAGCAGAAGTTCACTACTCCTGTCAAAGCTCCAGTGGTACATCAGGACTGAAGTCATGTGGGAGACAGAACATGTTTACTACGTCTACACGTTACAGGCAACACCTGTGCTCAAAGTGGGTTTTGTACCAGGCTTTGGATGTGGAAAAGCAGGCAGTCACTACATGAGAACTGAAGGCTGGAGGGCAAAGAACTCCCTTCCAGCAACCAGGAGTACCAGGTGGACTGAGTTTCTCTTAAATGTCTAAAGAAATAGCCATATTTAATGATCATAATATCCTTGCAAGCAGTCTGGGAGACCAAAGGAAATCAAAATCCAAAAGACAAGTTTACAACATCCAATTCGTTTCCAGTGAATCTGGTTCATACATCAAAATCTGAAGGCAGAGCAAAGCACTCAGCAAGTACTGCACTGCTGCAAACTAGCAAATTCATTTTGTCAAGGTTTGGACAAGTAAATAGATGCTCTTATTATATGTTTATATGAATCATTTGATATGATTTATTGGCTTGTTTTGTCATTAAAAACTACAGGCTCCGAGTATCTCTCAACTTCTGTTGTATGTGTTAAATTTTATCAGTCGCATGCATTTTTTAATTTGGCTCTATTAATGGCTCCAGCTTCTTGAGTTTGAATAGACCATGGGGAAAAATGCAAGGATCTATTTTAAGTCTACAGACATTTTCTATTTTGGCAAAGAAATAACTGACAGTAAATAAATATCATGCCATATTTTAGATTCATGTGAATGATTCTGGATGACCTTACAGAGCTCAACAAAATAGGAAGCAAAATAAATCAACAGCCAACATAAAGGATACACAAAGATGAGCACAATACCATTGAACTGCTACTAAATGGAAGTGTGGCTGTATTAAGCTAGCTTGAACAGCTATTTGATAATTTTTTTCCTTTTCATACTTGAGACCAAAATTAGTTTCTGTTGGATTAATACCAAATCCAGGGTCAGCTTCTTGAAACTATTCATGATATTTTATGCACAATACAGAAATTAGGCCATTTCTGCATTTTTTAACATATTTCAGTTACTAACATTTGAAGCATTTTTGCTATTAGGCTAATCCATGGTCGTGACATGGTCATAGATTCATGAGATAAAGTGCTGTTTTGGTCTTTGAAAACCTTGTTGTGAAGGGGGACTTCATTTTTCTTCAGCTCATCCAGCTCCCAGTTTATGGTTGTTTCCACAGAGGTCTCACAGTAGCCTTTAAAACATGGGAGAGTATGAAATTATTAAAGATCTTATTCATAATGTAAAGATAACTAAATTAAATTTGGTGCTTCATCTCTTCAGAATTTGCCTCACATGCTGGTAAAGTAAAAGTTATTACAAAACAGAAGTCTTACCTCTTTCCAGGCCACTTTAATGGCCCACTAGTAGAGAAATAACTGATTTAAAGATATATTTTTGTAAGGCTGGATGTATGAAGCAGCACATTAGATAGGAGGTGGCAGGATGAATTTACTCTTCTTGTGCAGTTGTTATTTTACCCATTTCCCATTTTGTCCATATCATCACCAAGATTACATAAGTCTTTCCCTTACTAGGAACTGGGTTTACATTAGCTGGTAGTGCTCCAATTAATGTTGTTTTTATCTCTAAAATTGCTAGAATTTCTTGGAAATCCTGTGTGGGATGATATTAGCTTATTTGGCCCATACTTTTAAAATATTTGTTTGTTTTTCTCATACAAAAATATGCAGGGCAGGCCACTCCACTGTATATTGCATTGAAGCTGAGCTCACTGCCTTTGATTCCAGAAGACCTCAGAACCAACATGGGCTACCCACAGGACAAAACACCTCCTCCTGAGCTGGTGACCTGCCCAGAACAGGCATCACTGCTGTCACTAATGGTGCCACACAGCTCCTTTCCCACAACAGAGGGAGCTGTAGAGATACCTGAGCAAACAAAGTTCAGCTCTCAGTTACATGAGATTGCCCAATGATAAATGCAGAGGCCACTCAGACCTTTCTTCTTGTGTTCGGTTCTCCCCTACATGTTCTTTGTTCTTTTTTTTTTTTTTACTTAGAGATATTTTACAGCACCCATTGCTAAGTCATACTGCAGAGAAAGTCAGTGTTTAGTTGTATTCCTAAGATCTGAATACAAACCAAGAGTTAAACCTGCAGTAGGTACAAATTGATATATCTCCATTAATTCCTTTGGATCTATGCCACTACTCTGGTTTTCGTCAGGATATCTAGTGGGAAAACTTTCAGATGGGTTGTTTTTTAATACTAAGACATAGCAAAAAAGTCCAGCCATAGATCTCTTCCATGGAACAGTCTTCATTTTGAAACACAGATTGTCAGCTTAATTTTAAATAGACTAATATAATAGCCTTTAAGTTCATTCACAGGTTACTTTTTTTTTTTGCCTCTGTGGTTTTGGGTCATTGGGTTGTATTTTTATTTGTGGGACTTTTTTAGAAATCTCATAATTCATATATATCCACGCCTTTCAAAAATCACTCTGTTGTTCTAAAGGAACTTGCTTTCAAAATAAAGAGCTCATCCACATGTCCTGTCCTTGTGCTGGAGTTCCTGGAGTGGAAATCAGAGCTGCAGCCAGTATACTTTAAAGCTTTTTTCACTTAACAGACCACTTAGTTTACACAAATTGCATACTTGCTGGTTTCACCTGTCCAAATTGCAGAAACAAACAGCTACAAAAGAGCCAAAGTAAAATCCAAGCATGCATTCAGAAGATGAATGGCACCAAAAAGTAGCTGTTTGTGGATAGAGAGCATTTACACTTGCCTTCAGTGCAGAGTTATCAATGTGACAGCTTCCTTTTGTTACTGCTATGTATTGGCTTTGATTACAAACCACCGCAGAGCTAAGGCTAAGAAAAACTTCCACATTTCCCAAATTATTTCTGGAATACGTGAAGGTGAAAAGGTCAGATTCTGCTCCAGCACACCCACCAGCCTGACACGAGTGAAGTGGCTCCCTTGTGGGAGAGCAGGCAGGTCAGACCCCATACACTGAGATTTTAAAGGAAACTTTTTCACTGGTTACACCAGCTCACCTAAGATAATACAAAGAAAGGGGGAAAAAAATTTCTATTTACTGGGTAAAATCTCCCTGTTGAGTAGTCATGGTTTGAGTGCTACAGGAGATCTTTCTAATAACAAGTTTTTTACCACTAACTATATACTTCTTATATCAGCTCCCGTGAAGCTGCATCTCCTCCCCAGTCTCAAAAGACCACGAGTTCTTCCTCTTCAGCCTCCATCACCTCATTTCAGATATTCCTTTCCTACTGTAAATGTGGCTATCAAAGCAATTCCACAGTAGGTGTGCAATCAGCACCCAGGGGAACACTGCAGCTCAGGAACCCCTTCCAATACTACATGTGCAGTTCCCTCGATCCCACTGAATATTTTTTTAAATTTTTCTCCTCCCTGCCTTTCCCCAGGTTCTCTCCCTTCATATTCATTACAGAACAGCAGACTTTCTGCAATAGAGCAGGAAGAAAACTGAGTCCATCTCTAAATGCAAGCACTGGCTTTATTCCTTCTGCCACTGGACCCCATATGTGCTTTGCTTTTCACGCTCTCATGTAATGGAGGGTTCAGGTGTTTCTGATGCTGCTGCCAGGCACTAAAAGCAGAGTGATACAAATGTGAGGTAAAAAGGATTCTTCGATCCCTAACTGCAATTGCAGATAAAGCTGGGAATTCTCCAGCACACACCAAGCAGCTGCTGCTGTGAACAGGCTCCAGGGATGTACTTTGGTGCATTCTTGGCCTGACTTAGTGCCTCATTCTAACTCAGTTTTCAACCACAGTCATCCTTGTGCTGGCTCATTATTACAGCACTATAAAAATAAAATGTTTGGACAGAACTGAAACTTCCTCCTAGCTGCCACTCTCATTTGCATAGGAGGTTATTATCCTGTATAAAGGCTGGCAGTTGTTTCCATCCTATGGCTTCTCTGATTTTCCTGTCAGATTATGTTTCCCTCTAATGCCCTTTGTGTACCTCTAGTACAATTAACAGTGTGGTTACTTGATCTCTGAATAGCAAAAGTCATATTCAACTCAGCAGGAGTCAAGCAAAAGAGCATAAGATCTGGCCTTGATCCGGTTAATTGACCTGCTAAATCAGATAACACTGAGTTATCATATTAACAATGTTCCTATGTATTTTTCTTGCATTTTTTTTATTATAACTGTTAGGAAAATATATGTTTCGTGTGATTAAAAAATGTGTGGTTATTTTTGCAGTTAAAGGGAATGAATTAGACATGTGTTTTAATTTAGACACTAAAGGCTTTTCAGCGTTTAATGAAGTGAGTTGCATCTGCTCTTGACACAGATATTTTTTGTTTTGCTTTGTTTTCTTTGTATTTCTGAATAAAATGGATAGGAAAACAAACCATTACAAGCAAGATATTACAGTCCTCAAAACTATAAATCTCTCGAGCTTGTGAAAATGTGGATATTTAATTTCAATCTTGCTCAGCAAT